CAAAATTAATATTAAATAAAGAAAAACAACAATATAAAAAACTAGGAATAAGAGATAAAAAAACAATGAAATGCTAATTAATTTTTCTTTTCTTCATTTTCCGTTTTTCATTTTTTCCTCCAAGAAATTCTACGCTAAAGACTTAAAAATAAAAATAAAACTAAAAACTAAAAACTAAAAATCGAATAAAACTAACACGATAAATAAATAAAAAAACTGAAAATAAACAGTAAATAAAATTACACCAAAAATTTGGTGTCTACAAGGTATTAGTGAAACTTATGCTCAATAATGTCTAACTCTGCGATGATAAAAGCTGCGAAAACATGTGTTGAAATCTGTAAACGACCAGCAACAGCACGTAACACGTATATTCAGTCTCGGTACTATAAATCGCACGCTTTGTACGTATCGAAACTTATCCGACATAGTTCAGGCATTGCATGTGGGTCTAAAGTCTCTTCTCCTGACTTTTACTAGTTGGCATCATCTGCGTTCGGGGAGATCTCACAATTTTAATGAGATGTTCGAGACGACCTCGCTACATCAAATGTTTTGGGGATCGAAACGATCATCATAACAATTCTCAATAGACACTTAATAAAGTGTCTATTGAAGCTTTAATGTGTCAGTGGGAGGAATTATCATTTGTGCCAAGGGCAATAGCACAAAGAAGAGAAGAGGAAAGGTTCATCGAATATTAACTAGTTCTATTATCACTAGTTGTAACATCGGGAATATCCAGTTGAAATATTATAATATTTTAAATAGAGCAGATGAAAAGCTGCTGATTGCAAATTCATAAGTTATCATGAATTGTAACATACACGTAACTGGTTGTAACGCAATCCGTACATAGTGAAATGTACAGGTCACTGATGTGCAGCTCTTTATCCACGTGACGCTTTATATATTTGTACAGTCATTTCATGACAAAAACTGCATAATTTGTTTTATTGTCTTAATAGGATTTGACACAGTTCAATGGCATGCATGTGCCTCTACAGCTTCCACTGCCATGACAATGAATGTTTGGTCTGGAATGCATTGTCCAGCGATATTTTAACACATTGTGAGGGTCCTACAGAATATAAAAGGGCGCGATTGCAGTAGTATATCCCTTAACAACAAAAATTTTTCCGTCCACCTTCCATTACTGCACAAACATTTTTCATTTTAAATAACTTCACAATTCCCATTTCATTCTACTGAGGGTTGGCAATGAATCCGTGCCTGAAATTCATTAGTATTCTTCAACCCTCCTCTAACTTCAATTGCAGTGTCATCAATAGAGGGTTCACACAGAAATTAAGTTCTTCAGTGCCAAATAGCAGCCAGTACGTTGCATGATGTTCGAGAAGATCTCGCTAATTTAATAAGATTTCGAGAAGGTCTCACTACATCAATTGTTTTGGGGTTCGAATCGACCATCTCTATGTTCTCATTAGACACTTACTAAAGTGTCATTAAAATATTAATTGTTGGGGGGAGGACTTATTGTTTGTGCCAAGTGCAATAGCACAAACAAGAGAAGAGGAAAGGTTCATCGGATATTAACTAGTTCTATTATCACTAGTTATAATATCGAGAAATTTTTAGTTGTAGTATCACTAATTTTAACTAGATAAGACAAAAAACTACCGATTGCAAATTCATTAGTTGTAATGAATTGTAACATTTAAGTAACTGGTTGTAACTCAACATGTACATGGAGTAATCAAAATTTGTTGCATTTTTAATATTAGTTACCCTATTTTCAAATTAGTTGTCTCAACGAAGTATCATGTTCTTCTGTGAAACTGTTACTTATTATGTGGTTATGTGGAACTAAGCCGAGCCTCCAATTGTAACTTCATGACGTACTGGTGGAGTATTGCGTATTGAAGTACCTCTAATACTATCTGTAATACTCATCGTTATTACAATTGTAAACAAATTGTCTAAGTTTTAACATACACCCAAACAAGGTAACAGCACGTAACACGTATATTCAGTTTCGGTAAACGACTAGCAACAGCACGTAACACGTATATTCAGTCTCGGTGAGCGAAAGATGGAATTAGAGGTATTTTGTCGCTGGCATGGCCTCCGCGTCCCGAGAACAAGGTCAGCGGATCTTGTTATAGGACCACAAGCCAATGATACAAGCGTATTACATTGACTACAGTGAGAAGTTATGCAGATGGAGCGTAGGCTTCATAGATTCCACGAGATCCAGGCCGCAAAAAGACATGGTATTGGAAATAATTTGATGTTCAGCACATTTTAGCAGATCCCATACTTATATCCGACCCGGACCTATCTGACTTTACTGAATCAAGCGACGATGACTTTTAAAGGTACATACCTCATTGTCTAATGGATGACGGCGTTCCCAAGTGTTGTATGGGATACAACTGATAACAAGGAATGTAGTTCAATGTTCGTCAGGGTAGCGACAAAACTATACTCATTATAATCTCTACTCAAACAAATTGCTTACCAAATTTGGATATTAATCATGCCTGTTAAACAGTCGTAACTAGTTGTAACGCAACAGTAACATATCCCTAACTGGTTGTAACCCATTGTGTATTGTTCGTTCTTCCTTTTTGTTGCATTGTAAAACTTCATTTTAACGTTACAAATTAGTTCTCCAAGGAATCATTTTCTTATGCGCACCTATTACCAGCATATGGTCGTGACCTGACTTGATCATAATTCAATTAACCTAAAAACTTGTAATACCAATTGATGTGCCTGTGATACATCATGTCAATGATGCGCTAATTTCGTTAAGCGATGCAAAACAAATGACCTAAATGATAATGTTTTTATAAAAATTTCCCAATAATAATTCAAATTTAGTATCATAACAAAATCAAGACAATTTATACTTTAGATTGTGTTATCTTATACATCATACCTTTGGCGATGCGATCTATGCCAATAAATGTGTTATTAAGGTATGTAATTGAATATAGTACAATGGTATACATATTACGACAGCCATTCAACTGTTATGGTCGATTTAGTAAAAAATATCCGATCACAAAAAATACGTTCAATTCTATTGTAAAATTGTTACTTCAATTTTCTACAAACTTTATAATTTACTAACAACTTTATACAACCCAATACAAACTATTAATGACTACTAACACTAGATGCGATTACAATTGTAATCCACTTGTCTAAATTTGAAAAGAGTGAAACATCAATGGTGCCTGTACAACCTTATCAATAAGTTGTAACAGCTTATTAACAGATTGTAACGTATATATGCATCATTCTCAGGTTGGGACAACCACTTAATGTCTCGTTCAAAAAGTATAGTTACACATCATTTATCAACCTTATTCTCAGAGGAGGTGACGTCAACGCGTAGTTGCAATCTCTGGGTGTTATATCTTTTCTGAAATGCGTAACGATGGCAAATCAGTAAATATTATTAATGAAACATACGATTAATGATATACGATATCCAAGTCTCCAATTAACAACATTACATAAATATGTGCTGTAACGATAAAAGTTTGTCACCTGAGGTGATGGTGCAAATACATGATATGTATCAACATCACAGTATGTTGAAATTGCCGCACGCTCCTCCTACATTACATAGTATAAGTAATCGACTGTCAACAAATCATTACCAATGCCTATATTGCTCACTTATAAAATTAAATTGGACTAGATATTATAACAAAAATGATATATCAGACCATTAAAACATCTCTGACGGAGTTATGTTTGGAAAAAATAGAAAATCTGGGATGCATCCATTCTGTAGGAACACTTGCAGGAGGCCCCTGATTAGCCAAATGGTGGACCTTCGAATAATAAAAATCAATATGTTATTAAAGCGAGCATACGTTAACTACATAATATTGCATGATTTGACAGCGTTCGGGTGCCTACCATTATAATTAAAGAAAAAAAGGTAACTCTTCTACACAAATAAGAAGGTTTTTATTTTAACTACTAAATGTATGCATACCGTTTCACTTTCATCGATATCGGGAGCAGCAGCGTTTGAAGGGTCATTCACTGTCTGGCTCATTGAATGCGTCTACGAGTTTCGTATGAGCCAAATCATAGTATAAGACAAACAAAATAGATATATCATGAGAGATGACGGTCGTAACAACATTATCACACAATGTAACATCAATGTAACTACTTATACTGTTAGAAACATCCAAATAAAAGCAAGAGTCATGTCCATTTTATACTAACCGAAACAGAGTCAGTAGATGAACGGCATCCCATAAACATGTATTCCTCAAATGAAACCGATGTCGGCTCCGATTCTGAGACCTACAGTATTGACACGGCAATAATATTATTTCATAATGAATGGTACCTAAACTTTAGTTAATAGTATAACGATAACTTAGTTTTAGCATAAATGTTCTCCAAGTACCAAAATTTGATCCATACCGTAGTCTGTGTAGTTCTTGATAATCTAGATTTTCTTTTTATTCTGTCAAATTTATCGACCCAATTTCGCATCACTCTACTTTTCTTCCCACCGCCTCATTTTTTAATGTCTCTTGCGACTACTGCCTCCCCCATTTCATTTACAATTTCAATTTTATCCCGTTCCTCCATATTCAGATTTTTTTTATTTTGCAAAGGTTGCTCTTCATTTTCTGAGAGGAGGAACTCAACTCTTTTTGCCAAATCGGATATAACAGTGATTGCTACTTTGCTAGTGTCCTCCGACACTGCTGCTCGAGTGCGACCTTAATCATGGCTGGAGCGAACTCCCGATAACGAGTTAAAATCATTACTTTAGGGTCAGCCACAACTTCCCGTCCTTACCGATCAAAACAGTCTCCAACCCGAGCTCTTTTTGTCCATCGCCTCTTAATGTATTCAGGAGGAATTTTTTTTATACGCACGGTATCAAACACCTTCAACGCGTGCCCACATAAAATGCCTTTATTCTCGTATTTTTTACAACTACAATGTACACTTAGATCATTCCGATTGAATACTACTATTCTTTCAGGTCCTCAATCATACCTCATGACCGCAAGCTCCACAAATATCGCTGCATTTTTTTGTCTCAATATAACCATAGCTGTTGACTCGCCATATTCATTTTGGAATGCAACAAATACGGTTGATGAATACGTTTCTGATGCATGCACAAGCATAGGTGTTTGCCTTAACCCTACCATAGGGAGCTTTTGCCTCATTTCATATTTTACGATTAGTTCATTATGTCTCTTTTCATCAACCACCCGATTGAAATGTCTAAAGAACTGCACAAGGTCATGATCCAGTTTCAAATGATTTTTAATTGCTGCATTTAGGCTTTCGCTAAGTTGGGTGCTTCGCATTCCCGCGGTCCATCTTTCTTTCATCATGCACCTTGCCCATTTATCACGAATTCGATACAACCCGGAGAGCCATTCATTATTTTCAAGATTGTGTTTTTTCACCATCGCCTCCCACACCCTATTGAATTGTTCCACTTCTTCAAACTCATACATGCAGGCACCAAACATGTATGGAAGATCACTATTTTCCTTGTAGTGATTGCCAAGATATTTTATAAAATTACGTCTTATGTGAAATGTACATAGACCGTGAAATGTTTCAGGCATGACAACTGAAAAAGCGGCTGCTATGGCGTGATCTTGGTCGGTTAGTATGGTACTTGGATGCTTTCTGCACATTGCTTCTAGAAATGTACCAAACGCCCATTTGAAAGAATCTATAGTCTCATCATACATAAGGGCAGCACCGAATATCACAATTTGTCTATGTTGGTTAAAATCCACAAACACTCCAAGTGGCCGGTATTCTTTATTCGTTTTGTATGTTGTGTCGAATGTGACTACATCCTCAAAAAAGTTGTAGTCAATTAATATACCTGCATCAGCCCAAAAGATATTTGTTATCTGCTCTTCATAGTTTAGCTGTACGGCATGAAAAAATGATGGATTCTCGAGTGTTTGCTCTTGAAATAATTCAACATGCTACCTGCTTCTCCATATTTCAAACTCCTTTCCCGTCGAGTATGAAGATATCGTTTCAAGTCTTCTCGAGTATATCCCACATTTTCCATCCCACCTGCCTCCTTTCCCATAAGCTCGTGGCTCTGTTTCAATGAAAGCCCAGCATCCACGCTTATTTCAGCTTGGAATCCTTGAGCCTCACTCACTTTTCTTTGTGATGGCATCATGTGCGAACATTGAACAATGTGCAACTCATGATTATGTTCTAAGACAAGGTCATGCACACGGTACTTCTTTGTCCCTCTAAACAACACGATAACCATTTTAGCTCCACACCCCGTTTTCGTCGGCGCTCGAGTTCTCTTTGGCATCACATCACCTTCGTACTTGCGTTTTACACCTTCCTTGCAGCAACTATATCTCCTAGACGTAGTCACACCGTCTTTGTTTTTATTTAGATAGTCTTTGCGTACACTAAAACCCATTTTAAAGGCATATTTGTTGTAAAACTTGTACGCATCCTTTTCACTATTGAACTCCATTCCTAATTCAGGAGTCTCATCTTCTGCCAATTTGCTACAATCCATTACTTCTGCTTCTACCAATTATGCATCAAACACCATAATTTGCAACAGTTCATGAATAGTATGTACATAAACGACAACATAAGTGTATATTACCATTCATAATGTGTTATGTTACACCCATTATTTGTATGCCAAATCCTATTATTACTCCCATCAATATGATTAATGTTGTACAAATACTCGTATATCAAATCCTATTATACTCTAAGACAACGGCATTATATATGTACAAATATAATTCCGTGTACAATAAGTTATGCGTACTGTAATGCGTTGGTCACATGATGTAAGTGTATTTTAACTGTATGTACATCCACTGGTGATTATATTTAGGTTCCAGGTACTTTGTTTCACTGGACCTCATGTCATTCATCAATGACAACCGCCGAAGAATTTCGAATGACAAGTCCCAAGTCAAGATTGGCTAATCGGCTAAGAGAAAAGAAAAGGTTTTCCAGATTCGAAGAGCAATTTCGGGGCATCATTTACATTTCAAAATGGTCTTAGAATATCACCAAATTTTGCACAATTAAACCTCCATATGAGGACCACTCCTCTATCAAATTTCATTTGAAAATTCACACGAGAAGGTAGTTAACTAAACCATCAAAGTTCAAGAAATTTCCCAAGGCAAGACTGTCTTCTAGCTCTTCTTTCTTTTTAAACATTTTGTCCAATGCAACCAACCCAAATCTGGTTTATTTGTAAAATAAAGTCCAAGGAACATCTAATATAAAGTTTGGTAGATGTTGGACATCAAAGTTTCCAAAACAACAAGTCCCAAATCAAGCTAGGCCATTCAACTAGTCAAAAGAGGATTTTTACTCACTGCATCAGTTTCGAAATATGGCCACAACTCACTCAATTCAACTTGGAATTGAGCGTGGTTGATGGCGTTTGAAAGCTATCTCACAAAGCTGAATTTTATCAGAAGAAACCATTTTCAAATTATATCCACAAACAGCTCGTTTTTGAGCATCAAGATACAAGTCCTGTCCTGTCTCCTGGAGAGAAACGAAACAGGACAGTGATTTTCAATCGAATGGTGTGACTCACTCAAGTGGAACCAGAACGTGAAATTGGTACCAATGGAAAGCTGGAAATGTCTAGTTTCCAATGCCGCAAATGGCACTTGATTTCGACATCGGAGTAAAGAGTTATAGCCGATACAAAATGACTGCCTGGGCAATACGGGATTCATTTTCCAGTTTTGCTAACTTTGGAAATCAACTCATTTGACCAACCAAATCATGTTATTTTTCAATGAAATTTTGTACACACTCACAATAACATGTAAACAACATAATCAAGTCATTAGAACCTCAAAATTGTGCACAAAATGGTCGGACAAGGCAGGGGCAAAATCAGAAACTTTTGCTTCTTGCTCCCAATGAAGTTTCTATCAATTACACACCATTAATCCATCATTTTAACCACTAAACCAACAATATATCCACCATCAATCATCAAATCAGCAACAACCCAAGAGTGGGAGTTCATAGAGCCCACTTTCACATTTTTCCAACAATATCAAGTCATCTACTTACATGCAAGTACTTAGAGATGCATATCTACTACTATAAATCAAGTTTAAGGTGATGGATCATGTTATACCTTCTTAGTGTACTAGATCAGAATTTTTGGCCCTCAAAATGCTCCAAGAAACCGTGATTTCCAGCACCCTTTTGCAGCTCAAAATGATCTCCTAGAGTTAAGCTAAGTATGGTGCAAGTTTGGTTGAATTTGGAGATGTTTTGGTGGTGGTTTGAGTAAGAAATTTTTGGAACAATGGAGTTAGAGAGGGAGGGAGAGCTGGTCGGCAGTCTTGGGTAGAGGAGAGAGAGTGTGATCAGATTTCTAAGCTTCCAAGAGAAGACATTAACTTGTGGTCTCAAATCACCCATTAGTCAACTCACATTAGGGTGCATTTGGCGCGATTAGGGCTCGATTTCTCGCGCGTTTGGTTCACTAGTGCACTAAATCTCTAATGCACTTATATTCATATAAATATTATTCACTCTCAATTGTCCCAAAATAAGGGTCTAAAGTTCCTAAATTAAATCGCGCGCGTAAAAAAACGCGTATCTCCAATTTAAGCGCGATAACGCGAAACTTCCGAGAAATTCTTATAACGATAGTACTAATAACTATCACTTGAGTATTTAAACATTAAAATGCCTAATTTAGGTCCATTGTACATGTCTCCAATATTTCAAACCTATTGTACTCTCAATCGATCAAGATTTCCAAAGACGTGTTCACTATTTTCACTAAACGAGCTTCCGGAAATTAATTTTTGAAACAAGTCATTTTAAAAATATAATGAAACTATATTTTCATGTAATTAGGTCTCAAGAGCTTAGAAAATAATATTCGGAGCAAAAGGCCAAATAAATAATTAAATAAGCTAGAAATAGGAGATTAAATAAGTAAATTTTGCGAGTCCTCACACACGTGGCGAAAAGATAGATAGTCCATTTGACAGAAGATTAGAGTACAACTCAGCAATCTACCAAAACCAGAACTGAACATTGTTATAATATATATATATATATTATTTACTAAGAAAATGGTATATTTCCTAATAAATTTATACTTTGCCATAAAAATCAATAACTTTTTTGAGAAAAAGTAGTATACTTTAAGGATTCAATAAAAACCCTTAAAGCATTATTTGCACAGGAGCAAAATAGTTAGTATTTCACTAAAATGAAGTTTTAAGCAATGGCTGTGAGTATATAATCTATAGATCAAAAAGTGTGCGCACTAACTAGGTTATTCAGGGAAAAAATATTATTTATAAATAAAGTAATAAGTTTTGTTTACATTGTTGTATGTTTTTGCTAAGAAAGATTAAGTCAAAAAAAAAGTATTAATATTGCTTGAGGAATGTTGTAAATATCACTAACAAAATGATAAACTTTAACAAAAGTACTTTATTTAGTCATAAAAATGTAGTTGTGAGATTCATTAAAAGAATGGTTAATTTCATTTAAACATTGGTATGTCTTGCAGGGAAAAAACATGAGATTTGTTGATGAAGTCATAATTTTGCTCATAAAATTAGTAAGTTTTGCTTGAAAGTTAGTAAGATTTGTTGATAAGGTAGTAAATTTACTGAAGTAGTTATAAGATTTGTTAATGAAGTCATATATTTTTCTTGAAATGTGGTAAGTTTTATGTAACAAATAGTAAATTTTGGAGGAAAAACTGATAGTTTTTGTAAAAAAAAAAAAGAAAAAAGTAGTAGGATTTGTTATTTAAAGAGCAAGTTACATATATCAGGACACTTCTTTTATACAAAAACTTACTATTGGTTATCATAATTTTGTCCCCAATGAAACCCATAATATATAGTAAGTTAAAATCTACACATGGGGCCACATCAACTATTTAATTGTGAGTTATGGTAACTCTTTATCACTTTAGACTTTTCCTTGAGGAAGCTCTAAATATCAAAAACAGATCTAAAAACATAAGGAAATGTTTTATTATTATTATTTTTTGCAGCAAGTACACATTTTTCAAGTGCCGATGGAAGGAGTTTTAGAGTTCTTCGGGTTTAGGGTTCTAATTGTGGATTTGACAGTTGGGGGGGTGAGAGAATTAAAAAAAAAAAAAAGAGTAGAAATTGCAATATCTTCTTGAAGTCTAGTGAAAGTTGATTTTTCTTAAGCATTTTAGCTTGCTGTTTAATCTTTTATTTTCCGTGATTAAGTGTTGCAAGCTGAAGAAAATTACAAATAAACAAAAATACATGTATATTTTTAGTTGAGAAATCCTTATACGTCTTCATTCAACTGATTCAGCACTACAACTGTTCCACCCTCATGAGAGATTAATTACAAGCAAAATAAAAATCTCAAGAAACAGACACAAGAATCTTGATCATGGCCAGATTCAGTGTCCTTGGATAGTTATACTAATAAACTAGGGGACAAGAAATTGGTTGATGCTCCAAGTTAACTAATAAGAATGCCATGAAGTCCCATAGCAGAGCCTCTTTCTTGATATAGATACTATTAGCTTGGTGATTTACCACATTCTGTATAACTATTAGCCATTGTTAACCCAGGATTAAGATCATGCACTATAGATGATCACCAAATTAGTGCCATTGTTTGAAGCACTACAGATGATCATCAAACTAATGCCATTTATGAAGTCTGCAAAATGTACTCTTTGTTCTTTCCAAAGAATGGCACTTTTCGGACTTGAAGACATTTGGAAGCGCGTAAAGGATTGGCTCTATGCAGAAACCTGGGTGCAGATTGTCCAATTTACTGTTATTTTGGTCATTTATAAAGTATTTTACAGTTTCCCCAACTCAAGGTGAGAAAATTTGCTATATATTCTAATTGAACCAGCATGTGCAACTCATAGATTTCCTCAAATTTCTGTCAAAGTTGTCAAAAGAAGAAGAAAAAAAGAAAGACGATAACTTTCTCCTCGATAGAGAGATTCCTCGATGAGATACCACAACAGAAGTTGCTGTGGTCACAATTTTTTATTTACTACTGCACCATTTCTCATGTAAATGAGATAGCGTTTTGCAACATTTGCCCAATGCAATATGCATATCATTATCATTACCATATACAACATTTACTGCTGCACCATTTTTTTTCCTTTTCTTAAGCACATTTTTATCCTTAATATAACAATTAAAATTACTGTTGTGTTTCATGGACTGACAGTAGTTTATTTGAGGTAGTCTAGATTACGTTGACAAGTGAATAAAAAATATCTTCAAAAATACTTTTCGATGTTTATACAGCATAAACCAAAATGAATTCGTGTTAAAAAATCATGATATTGATGTGAAAAAAATTATGCTAATTCTGGCGTAAATGAAAGAAAGATGGTTCCAAGAATGCACATATTTCCATTCTCATAAACACATTTAAGGGGCAAATACTATTGTGTACCAGTTGAGAGACTTTATAAGACAAATCACCTTGTTATAACAAACATAATGTTTTGCTTCTACATATGATATGACATTAATAATGGTTACTGTGAAAACTCTCGTGAAACAAAAAGCGATTGAAAAGTACATTTTATGTACTCAGCCATTAAGTTGAGTGCACCCAAAAACAAGTGTTTCAAAAGCAATTTTTATGTACTTAGCACATTAAGTTTCAAATACATCATGCTAACATCTTCCATTTACATATGCCAGAAGTATACTATTAATAAAAAAAACATTTAACAACATCCATAAATGGGACATGCGGGAAGCAGAATGAACCAATCATGATTGGATGAGAAATTTTATGTCAGTCTAGAACAACTACTAGACATACCTAGTAGTTAGTCCAGAATATAAGGATCCTACTTGCTAATTTACATGTTAAGCAGAATCCATTTTGGCATGTTAAATGAAATTAAGTGGAACCCTCGTATGTCCATATGAAACTTTTTCATTGATTTGGAAACAACTACTAGTAGGCCTGTCAACGGTCCAGATCTAGACCCAGACCCGGCCCGGATCCGTGAAATTATTGCGGGTATGGGTAGGGATTTAATTCCGTTAACCAGATCCGGGTCCGGATCCGTTTTGTCAAACAAAAAAATGGGTCGGATACGGAATATAGTATTCCGACACATATTAGATCCGGATCCGGATATAAATGGATTAATAATTTAAAATATGTATATTTATCAATATAATTTGATTAGGGTGATGTATTTGAGTAAAGTCAATTTGATTTATTTTCTTATTTGATTTTTTTTTGTATTAGTTAGAAATTAGTGTACAAATATATTTTTTCTCATTTTTATTAGAAATTGTAAATTTTTATAAATTTTTTCGGGTAGACCAGGACGAATCCAGGTTCGGAACATAAAGTAGAAGACCCGTCGGGTAAACGGGTCGAATCCGGATCCGATTTGGTATGCTGGATCCGGGTCCGGAATAATGAATCCCGGCCCGAACCCGGCCCGTTGACAGGCCTAACTACTAGACATGATTAGTAGTTGTTGACATAAAATCTTTGGAACGGGATGAATGCTAGAATCTCTATTGCCACATGGATCCTTTTGCTAGATAATTTTCATTTTTTTTTTATTTTTTCTACTTCATTGTCTTTCTTTCCTTCGGGCAAAACTGGAATTTAGGAGCGTGAGATCCATTAAAAGTTGAATAAATCTTATACATATAGATAGTGTATACACTATCTCAGTTAGATGTATGACACATGTGTAAATTTTAGATTTTAAATTTAAATTCAAATCATATAAAATGCATCCAGTAGTGAAAGTGTATACATTATTCACATACATAATATTAATTCTTAAAAGTTAAGACATCAATTTCCGCGAGTCCCATTTGTGGATGCTGTTCCGTGTTCCTCTTTGCTACCACTTGGTGAGTCGTGCCCTTCGCTTGGGTAGGGACCCAAAAGAATGACAGGCCTAAATTAAAATGCCATCCCTATTACCTCTAAAAAAACAGCAGGTAAAAAATATATACATATAAAAAAACCTATGTAACAAGTAAGCATTTCTCAGCTAAACAATCCTTTCATTAGTTTTTAGCATTGGACAATCCATCTGTTTGCATTGTACACATACAATTTGAAAATTGCCTCTATATTTTAAGTGTTTTCAAAACGGTTTGTCTAATGGGTGCTCATAGGGCACGCATTAAAATATATTTCAAGTGTCATATTTTTAGAAATATAAGACTAATTAGCGAAAATAAATAAATAGAAGGGAGAGTAGGTAAAATTAAATAGAAAAAGTATATAATTGCATAAGAGGGTAATAATTGTTATTAGTGTATATATATGATATGTTAGGTGAGTTTTAGATGTGTTAACGGATTATTTTTTAAAAAAAAAACAATTTATACAAAAAGGAGCAACTAAAATTTGAGTTAACAGTAGAACATGATTTTCTTTTTTGAGCACAAAATCATTCTCTTGACTTGCATTCTACATTTTTTAAAATAAGTTGTACCTCCGCAAACATTTAATTAGAGCTACATGCTAGCGGCAATATTATAGGGAGAAGGCTCTGGCTGCTTCTCTGATTGATTTACGCTGTGGTTCAAATTAGACAATTAGTTTGAGAACCTGAAATTCGAAAACCATAATCTAGCAATTGTTTAAGAGCAATATCGAAATTAACGCAGAAACCATTACATGAATGCTGTAATCTTAATGCTCACGTGACTGCAAATTAAGCTGGAAATGGGAGGAATCTGTCTCCAATTTGGTCATAAAATAAAAGAAAAAAGCAACCAAATTGGTACCACTAATAAAGGGCCAGATGAGACAATACTTAGATTCAAGGGACGAAAATGATAACTTTGGCCTTGGTCTCGGTCTTTGTTTGACACAACTGAAGTTGCTGGGAGTGTAAGTGTGAACAAGATAATTTCATTGCTTCTGCAGTTCTGCTGCACCATATCTTCTCTGAACAAGATAGAGTCTTCCAATATTTACACCAAAAAAGTTAAAAAAAAAAAAAAATAAAAATTTCCAGCCTATTGTTTGTTTGCTACTGTTAGATGAGAAAAGTGTAGATCCTGAACTAATAGAAATCTGATATCAGAGTGAAAAGAAGATACCGAAATAATGGACGTCCCCTCCAGCAGTAACACTAGTTGCTCTGATTTTGCTTTATATGACTATCTGCAATCGCATCACATCTCCTCCAGCACTAGTGCTAGTTGCTTTGATCTTGCTTTAGATTTTCTAGCCAAGTTTCCAGAGTATTCGGTTTTCCCCAACTGCTTGGACCTCCTGGACCTGGAGCATAAGGTAATATTATTGAAAACCTTTTTTCTGTATGTCAAAATGTGTAGGAGGAGGAGGAACCATGAAGCGCTTTTGGAGCATGATCAGGAGCACAAGGATAATACTGTCTGAAAGTTTGAGACGTAGTAGTATTTGCTTCAGAATTCAAGATGTGGTTATCAGGATGGTTCATGATCTTCAGTCTGCTGATCTTCTATACAAACATTCTACTGAGTCAGATCGTGACATCAAAGCAAGTGCGGTGACCAGATCCCAGGAAAATATCATAGTTTTTCTTGAGACAGATGTCAAGAAATCATGCAGAATCATCTTCTTCGACTGTTACTCACGGGCAGATCCACGACTAGTTATGGATCTTATTGTGTCCCTTTCACAGACTCTGAAGTCCTGTTACCCTTTAGTTGGGAAGCCAATGGATACCGTTAGACACAAGCTAATGCTCTTAAGGAATCTCATTCGTTTTGTGACAATGCGAGGTGTTGAGTGTGTGCAACTGACAGATCTCTTCAGTCAAGTTGCAGCTGTGGCTGCACGCCTATTTTCTGTATGTCAGTTTGACAGACATTATATCCTAGTAGTCAAACAAATGAGATCCGAAATTTCTCAGCTGATACTTAAGAAGATAAATCTTCTTGATCCTCAAGTCCGAGAAACTTGCATACATGTCCTGACAGCTTCAAAGAAACAATCAAGATCATCACGTGCTTTAGCCCTTGAGGAGAATGGGTGTCCAGTTGTAGTTCAATTTGTTGAGTCTCTCCACCATTATCTTATGGATCTACCGGGATATCATGCCAGTTTTCGGGTTCCAGTTAAGGATCATATTCTAAAACTCCATCAGGGAATAAGATACTTGAGTACCCTTATCAAACAGGAGGAGAAACTTGATAATGAAATAAAGGATCTTCTTGGACTTGCAGTCTGTGATGCAGGAATTCTGATCTTCTCCCTTTCTGTAAATGAAATCCAAGAAGGCTTGCCCAGGGAAACATATCTTAGGCTGTTTCATTTGCACAAAGTTCTCAAGTATATGATGGCAGAGCTTGCACACAATTATCCGGTAATATCACCATATTCATCATTTAATTATTGTAGATCCAATGAGTTGGGATATATGGATTTTTTCCTAGAAGATCTCCAGGAACTAGCAAGGTTTGATAAGGCTGATGAGTCAAATGTTTTCTTATTGGATAGAATCCAAATGGTCCACAAAGGTCTTGTAGTCTTGAGATCTGTCCTTGAGAATATAAAGGAGCAGCGCTTTCAGAATGAAAAACTCCAAGCTTTCTGGAGTTATGTTATGGAGGTTGCTTACAAGGCAGAGTTATTGATTAACTCGACACTTGTTGGTGATGAATGTGAAGATTCTTTGGGAGCAATAACTAGAGATATCAATCTTCTGAAGATTGAAGCCCTAGAGATCCACAATGGTCAAACCCAGAGAGTTAACCGGACCTTCATTCACATACCATCACAGCTTACTGCAGCCATACACAATGAAGATCTAGTGGGTCTCGATGACGTGGTGGAAACTATCATTGATCGACTTACGAGAGGATTAAAGCACTTGGATGTTGTTTCCATTGTGGGTATGCCTGGGCTTGGTAAGACCACATTAGCCAATAAAGTTTATACTGCTTCTTCAGTTAGGTCACATTTCCATGTTCGTGGCTGGTGTTGTGTTTCTCAAACATATAGCAAATACAGTTTGTTTGCTCAGCTTTTGTGTAGTATTCATTCTGAGAGTTCTGACAAGTATCTTAAGATGGATGAAAATGATTTGGTTGAGAAGCTAAGGCAAGTTTTACTAAGAACTAGGTATCTCCTCGTTTTGGATGACTTGTGGGACGTTGGGGCATGGAATTTGTTGGAAAACTCACTGCCGAATGATGTCAATGGAAGCAGGATTCTTTTCACCAGCAGATCCCGGGATTTGTCTTTGCAATTTAAACCTGGTAGCAAGCCTTACCATCTCCGCCAATTTACCGACGAGGAGAGTTGGGCATTGCTACAGAAAAAGCTATTTGACAAAGAAGGTTGTCCTCCAGAACTAACTGGAGTTGGATATCAAATAGCAAAAATTTGTAGGGGTTTACCCCTCACAGTTGTCCTTGTTGCTGGAATTCTTGCTACTATTGCACAAGATAGCTGGGAAGAATTTGCAAAAAGTCTAAGTTCTATTGTCCTTCAGGATGAATACTGCATGAAGACGCTTGAATTGAGTTATAGTCATTTACCAGATTATTTGAAGCCATGCCTTCTATACCTTGCTGCATTTCAAGAGGATCAAGTTATTAATGTTCGAAGGTTGTTATGGCTTTGGATCTCTGAAGGATTCGTGCAACAGATTGAAGGAGAGAGTTTAGAGGAAGCAGCTTACAACTATTTGATGGGTCTAATTAATAGAAGTTTAGTTATGGTTACCCAAAAAGGAGCTATGAATGGCGCCAAAACCTGCCGACTTCATGATTTGGTACACGAGTTTTGTGTGAAAAAAGCCGAAGAAGAAAGTTTTCTACATATTATTCATAGTTGGAAAGACCCGTTTGGTCTTACTGGACAAAGCAACCCCCATCGAGTTTGTGTTCATAATACCGGGGAATTGAAGGTTTGGGAGTCGATACTAATTTTTCCCAATTTACGCTGTTTGCTCTTGTTTGGAAATGATTATTTTGAACCTCAAGAGGAGGATTGGGGGATTTTGTTACCTAAACTTCTTAGAGTGTTGGATTTGGGGGGTTTGATCATTGGGAAATCATTTCCGATGGAAGTAGTATTGCTTGTTCACTTGAGATACCTGGTGCTCAGTGGAATACGATCCATCCCATCTGCAATAGACAACCTCTCAAGGTTGAAAACTCTTATCGTACAAAAGCCGCATTCTCATGTTGAGCTGCCAAATACTATTTGGAACATGAAGACGTTGCGTTATCTACGTACTACAGATGGGATTCGAGGTTTCATTTTTCTAGATGGAAATCTTGAAGTATTCCCTGATTTAGACCATTTAGACACTTTAAGCCTTGTAATTGATCCCTCCCCTCAATGCTTGCAAAAGATGCTGAAAAAGTTACCAAGCATCCGCAGGCTAAAATGTTGGAGATCATGTGATTCACAAGCAGCTACCAGAAATTGCGACAAGATTCTTGTTTTTGACTGTTTGAATCATCTACAATCACTTCGTTTGACTTATTTTTGTGGATATGGATTTAAATTCCCATTGAATTTGAAGAAGTTGACTCTCTCAGATAATTTTCAGCCATGGAGTGAAATTTCAACAATTGGAAAGTTGCCTCATCTTGAAGTGCTTAAATTACTCGGGCGTTCCTTTGTTGGGGAAGAATGGGTAATGAAAGAAGGGGAGTTCCCTAACCTCCGAGTCTTGCTATTGTCATTGTTGGACATTCGCAGCTGGATCGCATCTTCTGGTAATTTTTCCCGTCTTGAGAAATTGGTCGTGTACTGGTGTGGAGGGCTGGAAGAGGTCCCTTCTTGTTTAGGGGAATGCCCGACTCTCGAAATGGTTGATGTGGTAGGTTGTAGTGAGTCTGTTGAAAATTCTGTAAAGCAAATTCGGCAAGAACAGCTGGATATGGGAAATGGGGTTCTAAAGCTCGGGATTAATGGTTGTTTTGACTGATCTTCCTCAGAAGAAGAGTCCAATTCCCTCAGAAGCAGAGTCCTTTTCCATTCTCGACAATGGTGAAGCATTCGTGTCCCATTTTGATTTGGGTGAGAGTGAATAATGTAAAGTGGGATTCAACTCATTATGAGGTCAGATAAAAGTATATTTGCATTTGTTGAATCAGTTCAATTAACATTTCCTGTTTCAATTATATGTAAAGTGGGATTCAACTTATATGTATGCATGTGTGATTCTGCTCTCAATTTGTGTATCTAAGTAAGAGAAATACAGAAAAATGTTAATTTGCTTCTATTTTCCTCAATTGATTGATATGTTGAAACATACAATAACAGTTTCGCAACAAATATTAAGAGGAGGCACAAAAAAAAAAAAAAAAAAAAAAAACCTATGTTTGTTACTTTTCAACAGAGAAAGAGCAATTGGTCAAAGGACTTAACTATAAAATTTTGTGTGAATTCTTGACCTTTATAATATGCATAATATTGTGATATGAAGCAGAGTTTCGTAGACAATGAGATCTAGAAATACTAAGTTGGATTAGTTTGGATAGGGTATTATTTGAAATATTATTTGGAATAATTACTGTAGCACTTTTTGTGATGTGATGTATGTGAGATAAAAAGGTGGGTTGGAAAATGTGTTTATGATGCAAGCGAAATATTATTTGAGATAATTTTAGTATCCAAACAAACCTACTAGTATTAAATATCTGAAAACGTGTCCTTCTTCACTATATTTTACAAACATTTTTATTCCTCACTAAGCAATATTCTAAAGGAAGCAATTTTTCTTAGATTTTTTTTAATGTCGCTTCATGTTTTATTTTCCATTTTAAGTAGTGAATTGCTTGAACTGATCAAAATGGCTTTTTTTTTTTTTTTTGTTGGGTGATCTGTATTTCTCTTCATTCAACTGATGTAGTGCTGCAATTATTCCTTCTTTCAGAGCAGATTTCTTTGGAAGGCGAGCCTATTTCTTCTCATCACACTAGAAAATGTGAAAACTGAGAGAGGTCCCTTCTTGTTTAGGGGAATATTGTGAGTCTGTTGTAGCAAATCTACAACAGCAAATGGGAGCAGAGTTGAGTTTCCCAGAAGAAGAGTCAATTCGCTCGGAAGCAGAGTCCTATGCCTCAGTTCTGTGTATATGTTGAATCAGTTTTATGTTTCACGTAACTTTTTTCAATGATGAAGCATTCATGTCTCTTGTTGATCAGCATGTGTTTCTTGAAGCAGTATCAGGGCCTTTTCAACTCTTTTGTTTGTGATTGCAGCTATATAAATTTGTGATTTGTGATTGCAGCAGCAAGAACAGTCCTGGATTAAACAAACCAATAATATTATTTATCTGTAATCTGTTTCTATGATGTTCTTCAGGTTCTTTTCTCGTTCGAGGTTCGAAATGTTTGTATTTCATCATCCCAATTTGTTGAATATTCTTTGATGCAGCTGAAATCGATGTGATGCTTAAATGTTCAAACCAGCAGAGCAATAGAGAAATGGCTTAGGAACAAAACTGAAAAATTAGCTTCAATTCTTCTCTTATATATGGAGCTTTATATGGTATCTTTATATGCTTCAATAGATACAGCTTTGTGCATCAAGCCAAAACAAGAAAATCTGAAGACGTGGGAATATGGTATCTTTATGTGTGCCTTTCTTCTTTAAATGTTTTCGTGTACAAACTTTCTCATTCTTCGACATAGCAATATTTTCAGAAGTCTAAAGAAAGTAATTTTTCTTAAAGTTTTTCTTTTCTGTTTCATCTTTTAAGTGATTAATTGTTCAAACGGACCGAAATGGCAGATCAAAGAAATTAATTAGATGGCATTTTAATTTGCAGAGCCATCTATATGCATGCTTCTTCATTTGATTGGTATACCACAGCAATTGTTGCTTTCTCTTGCGTTAACAATCACCAGTTTTAAAGAATTTCAACAACAATGGGGCAATTTTATCATAACACTCACTTTTTTTAAAGAGTTAAGATTTTCAAGGTTGACTAGTCTTCACTGGGGTAAAGTATATATTTTAAGGTTGAGGGTGTTAAAGTGTAATTACCACTAAAGTATATATATATATATATATATATATATATATATAAGTTTCATCCGCTACCACGTGTAAAGATGGAGTAAAAGACCAATCATAAATTGGTTTTTTTTTTTTACTTTTTGTTTTTAGTGTAAGTGAGATGGATTGAACTTGGGACCTGTCACTTACACTTCTTTTCCCTGAATCACCCAACTCATCCCTTCCTCTAATAAGTTGGGGTTGAATGAAGTGTTTACTATAATTGAATTTATTTTATTTTAGGGAGGTTCCATTGGAGCTGACGATAATGAAGAGGTTAGTTTAAAGGAGGTGATGATAGAAATAAAAGTAAGCTATTTTATTTCCTAATTATTTTAGTTTCTTATTTTGGTGTCTAGTCTTGCTTGTTTAGTTTCTATATTAGTTTAGGAAATCTCAAGTCAATTTCTAAGTAAGTTTTGGTTTGCAATTGTATTTGTTTAGAAAACTCTGCAATCTATAAAACCTATTAGTTTAGTACATTGTTATTTGAAGAGTTAAGTCGAGTCGATTTTGAAAAGTTGAGTTTGAATCTTGAGTTGCGGGTACGAGAAAAAGTCTCTATTATTTGTGAGTTGTTGTAAGCATAGTTATTAAATCTGGTCCGGCCCAACGGTTCGACCGATCAACCCGATGAACCGGCCATGGAATCGGACTGGTTCGCTAATTAGATCGTTTCTGCAAGTGAACCATTGACTTTTCAACGAATCGGCGATTCAACCGGTGAACCCGTCCGGTTTGTAGGAACCCGGGTTGCATGAAAAAAATGCATGGAAGATGCTGCAATGATGCCTCAAACTAGCAACCTCTTGTATTGAAGGAAGCGCAACAACCACTACACCAAGAGCTCAATTGTTGTTATTTAGTTTTTTTTATATTATATATTAGACTTTTATTCTTATTTTAATTTTCCAAAACAAAATTTATTTGGAATCTTGTAATAAATTTTATTACTCCCCAAACTCTATAAATTATGAAATGAATTTAAAAAATATCATATTACACAATTCATTCTAAGGCAAATATCGTTCCTAATAACTTTTGCATTTAAAATCCATAAATAAACTAGATAATTATACTTAGATAAAGTTTTATACTTGAAATTTGATGAATTACTATTTGAATTTAGGTTTTGTTAATTCTTATAAGAATTAATGATTCTATAATAAATTAGACTAATTGAACATTTACTATGACATAATTTATTAGTTTTAACCATATCAAAAATTATAAAACGTAATATTTAAATATATTTCGTGACCCACCGGTTGAACCACTCACCCACTAATTGAACCAATAACCCGTTTTTTTAGTTCCCTCTCCGGGTTCCCTTCCGGACCGGGTTTAATACTATGATTGTAAGCGAAAAGATACAATATGATATTGTTATTGCTGAATTTTGAGTTAATAAAATTATCGAGTTATTGTGTATTTATTCTTTTCCTCTTCCCACGCATCTTTATATGTGTTTAAAATTGCTTCTACTGTGCATGTGTTTTTTGTGCCAATATCCACAAATGGTGGTTTGCATCTTGTCACCATGAAAAAAAAAATCACCAGCTTTTGCATAAAGGATTTTATTGGAATTTATAATACAATAATCCATCCCTTCCCGTTATACATAAACAATTTCAAAATATGCCTTCACGTTTTGAAGTATTTTCTCGCAATAGAAAATGAAGAAACTTAAATCAAAGTCGAAGAACTTGATTCTTGTTTCCTCATAACCGTTCATTTTTTTTTTGGCTGCGGTCAAATGACAGAGTTATTGCGAAACCATGAATAAAAATGTTCAAATGTCCACGTGATCATTTCCTCTGTTTTGATTTAAACTGTTTTCCTTCCCTCTTGTTTGGGCCGTTCAAATGTCCACGTGATCATTCTCCGTTTCGCTTTTTTTGAATGTGCGCATTGCATTGGCTTGGATTTTTACAATTCTTTTGGGTCTTCTTTTATTTTTCTTTATCTTTTTTTGTTATCTTAATTTTTGTTTTTGTGAAATTTTTTTGTCCTTCTTTATCTTCTTTCTTGATTTTTCTCTTTTATTTCTAATAAAAGAAAATCAACAAAAATAAAAAACTTGAACATATGATAAAAAAAAAATAAAACAAGTTCAAAGATAAGGAGTCTGTTTGGCAAACAAGTTTTTAGCTAAGTTTGTGTGCTACAAGTTTTTTTAACAATTTTAACTACAGTAATTTCAAAAAATTTCTCAAAATTTTTAAACTGTACACTTTAAAATATCCAAAAATTTACACAATTCAAAAATTTTTCCTACAACTTCTATAGTAAATTATAATAAAGTTTTAGACAAATACCAAAAAAACTCATTTACCAAACAATACCAAGGTTTTATTGAAAATTTTGGTGTTTATAGATTTAGTATACATATAAGCAGCTAAGTCTTCATGGATGGACCTAGTGAAAGAGCCAGAACAGATTTTCAGCTAATGCACAAATTAAAAAAAAAATTGTACTTCTATAAACAGACATTGGCAATTTTTTGTAACATGTGCTGGGGAAATATTTTTTTAAAACTTGTTTTTTCCATTCCACATTCATGATAGCACAAAAGGCGTTACAATGAAGAATACCAAAAAAATATTTTTAAAGTAACGTTTAATCCAAATGCACCAATTAATATTCATGGAACAAGGAATAGCAAGTAACAATATACGTATTTAATATATAAAATAAGAAACTATAAGTGATTTTCTAGTAAACCATAATTCACCGAACTATTAATTTTAGTGTATAAAAAAGCTCATTATCGAATTAAACTCCTTAAAGATTGGGGTTGTACTTGTAATGATCATTAAAATAATGATTTATATGCATTAAGAATATATTATCGAAGTACTTATAAGGTGATATGTAAATTGAGCAACAGTAAAAACAAAGTTTTTTTTTAAACGTCGGGTACCTAAAACTTAAACAAATTATTATGGTAAAATAAGGATTTCTTAAAAATACTACACCTAAAATTGTAATTTCACTTTTGCATACGTATATTAGTAGTTCTACCCCTCGATGGAGTGATCCGTATTCTAGGATCAAAAGATGTAATTGGTGTGTTTACGAGCCAGTTTGTTTGGATTGGCTTGATTTCAAATAAAAAAATTTACTTCACAAATTTCAATCACCTTTTTATCTTTTCAACCACCTTTTTATCTCACATACATCACATCATAAAAAGTGTTACAGTAATTATCTCAAATAAATCATGCAAATAAACTCTTATCCAAACAAAATTACTTTGTCAAGTCTTATTTTGGCTACGTAAAGTCATTGGCTAGCGTTCCTATGCATAGCTTATATATTTGATTAGACACTTCATTCTTTGGCTTTTTTTAAATTTCTTACCTCTTTCCACATCCTTTCCACTTTTAACTGTTAGATCAAAAATCCAAATTCTGAATCTGACAGTGAGAAGAACTCTAAGAACACTACTATGGCTGTTAGGCCAACTCTAGTAGTTGTATTTGACTGGACACTGAGGACAAGTCTTCTAATCGTAAAATCATTTGATACTAAACTACATTAAACATGTAGAATTGTTTATCTCTAAAATTTTGAGAAAATTTTAATGCTTTTTAGTGAATATTTCTTTTATATATTATTAGATCACTTTTGTACTCCACATACACTACATCCTAAAAAAGTGTTACGGTAGTTTTTTTCTCAAAAACTCTTGAAAAATTCCAATCCAAACATGTTCTTAGAATTTTGAAGTTCATCTTTCATTAGTGTAAAGGTTTTATTCCACTTTGCACCCTCGAAGTTCTTTTTATTTTAACTTCGCTCCTCAACGTTCTAATTACAAAACTTTACAATTTTTTTTGTTTACTTTGCCTTTTTCTTTCAAGGAGAAATCTTAATGTTACAAGGAAAAAGGTAAAGAGCAATTCTTAAGAGTTGAATTAAAAATCTCATAATTACCCAACTAAAATCTCCGCAAGCTGAATTGGGGCTTGAGACGACACTCATACTAATGTCATGGATCCCACTTTTGACCAATTACTAAACTTGTTAAAAGAAACACCACAAGATCATGCAATGTCAAACGGAACGTACATGTATGGACAACATATAGATTAATTTTAGTGAAATTATTTAAATTGGGACTAAGAAGACCTTAGTTTATTAACTAAGTTTGAAATCTCAAGTTTTAGATGTTTTTGGTTCAAATCCCCTTTCTTTCTCCTTTCTTCTTAAATCCTAACCTGTTTCTGCTTAAAGAGAAAAAAAATACTTCAAATTGGCAGTATATATAACTTTAAGATATATAAAAAGAACACAAAGTGTCAAAGTGAAAAAAAATCAAAATTAAAAGTGATA